TGCTGAAGACCAAGTGACATCTCTGCATGATGAAGACGGCAAAACCCAGATTCTGGAGTCTGAGCACGAAGAAAAAACGCAGGTTGAAGAAGCTGTGAGTTTGGATGCCGCTCCGGCCGACGACTCTGTATTTGCAGAATCCACAAACGATGATGTTTGTCAGGATTCTCCTGTGAAGCAGAAGGACCTGGAGGCCGTGATGGAGCCCCTTCTGGGTCAAAGCCCCAACAGTGGCAGAACCAGAGGAACCTGGTCTCCTTCAGCTTCACCGTCCACCAGCATCTTGAAGAAGGGCCAGAAGAGGCCGCTCAAGGTCGAGACGCCGTCGCCTCTCGTCAAGGTCAGTAGTGAAAGCAAAAAAAAAAAATCTGTTCTGTGATAAACGTTTGAGCCTTGAAGTAACTCTATTTTTTTCAACCCTGCAGTCCAGGCGCGTGTCCTTTGCTGATCCGATTCAGCAGCAGGAGTTGGCGGACGACATCGATCGTCGCAGCCCGGCCGTCAGAACCAGCTCCCCCAGAAGGTCCAAAGGCAGCGGCATCCCACAGCCGAAGGTACGAACGATTCAGGAGGCCGGCGTCGGCGTTCACCCTCCGAACTCCGGGAGTCGCATTTATCTCAAAGTCCAGAAACTTCACAGACTATATGTTGTATTCCCAGTTTTTGGATCGTCCAATGTGTCCGTTTGTGACGATACTTTACACGACTATTTAAAAATTCACCAAAAAGTGTTTACATCAGATCCTGTTACAGTTTAATAACAATCTGAGTGTCTCGGCACAACTGATCCCGTACGACTGACTCAGCTGTGACCAACAGTGAAGCATTCAGTTGTCCAGACAAATGAGATAGAAGCTAAACAAAATGCCCAGAACATGCTTTGGTTTCAGAGGCTTAATGACGTATTTTGAATCAAACATTTTTTCTAAACTCTTGTGCCTCCTGTTGCAGCTGGTCACGACTCCAACGAAGGGTTTGCTGATCCTCAGTCCCAGAAATCTTCACAGTCCAGGTTACAGGAGCTCCAAGAAAAGTCTGGTACGAACACAGAAGAGATGATTGAGTTACTTATCTTCACTCATCCCACATGTATTATTATTATTGTGTTGTTAAATGTGAGGCTAAAACAGCCTCCAGAGTGGCTGGATTGGATCTAATTTCTAATAAAAGTGATTCAAGCAGCTTTTAATATGGCTACAGTTTGACCGTTAGTCCCTTTTCCAGATTTCTGAGCTGAGTCAGGAGCCTCGGCCGGTGTCCAGAGACTGCATCTACCCGGCGCTGGTCGGCTGCTCGACGCCGGTGGAAGCTGTGCTGCCTCAGATCTCCTCCAACATGTGGTGAGTTCAGCACTGCCTTGGAAGTTAAAAGCCCAATCAAAGTCGATGCTGCTGTGTCACCGTCTGTGATTGGTCCCGGCAGGTCTCGGGGTTTCGGACAGCTCGTTCGCGCCAGAAACATCAAGACGGTCGGTGACCTGAGCGCTCTGACTCCCGGGGAGATCAAGACTCTGCCGATTCGCTCCCCGAAGATCTCCAACGTCAAGAAGGCTCTGAAGGTCTACGAGCAGCAGGTAGGACCGAGGCCGGGCAACGGGAAGGTGAGGAAAGCTGTCTGCGTTTGTTTGACCTCTGAACTGTCGTCCTGCAGCGTAAAGGACGAGGCGGAGACGAGCTGAAGAGCTTTGATGAAACGGAGATGATGACGTCCGAGCTGGAGGAGACCGACGCTGCTCCCAACGACGACGATAAAACCTCCGCAGAGACGCTCGGTGAGCAGAAACGTTTTATTAAATCTAACAAAAGTCACTGAGACATAATATCGGTGTTGAGATAAAGTTCTTATGATGGTCTGTGTGTGGAGTTGAGCATCGTTCAGAAAACAAGCCGGTGTGTCCGGTTCCATGATGTGTTGTAGACGAGCTGCAGTACCTGGTTGTTCCACCAGGTGGAGCCTCTCAGCACTTTCCCTTGTGGATCATTGAAGTTTATCTAAGTCTAAGACAGTAATTCTGACTTTTCCATGAACTCTTTGTGTTTTCAGCCACCGAGCTGCTGGACGAAGCCGCCGCTGACCAGGACACCTCCAGGACCGGAACCCCCGAAGTCCTGGACGAAGACCAGAGGCCCGAGGACCAGCCGCTGCCCTCCGAGGTGGAGCTCTTGTCCTGCAGGATGACGCCGACAGAATTGCGGCGCTGCTCGGCCCAGCAGCTCGTCCACATCCACGAGCGGCTGGGAGGCATGATGAGGAGCGTGGTGGTGGAGCTGCAGACCCGAGTCCAGCAGACGGACGACCAGCAATGACTCCACGAGGAACACGGATCTGATGGAGGGTCCTGCGGTCCGACCTCGTGAACATTTTACCGATGAGGATTTTATGGTTTTACCCTGTCTGGACTTCTCTTCTTTTTTCTTCTTGCTGGACGTGTTTTTAACAAAGCAGCACATTTTCTTCACGTGTAGCTCGAGCTGTCGCTAGTTTATACGGATTTTAGGAAAAGGGAGGAAGCGCAGCGTCACTTTGGAGCCGCGTCCGAAGACGTTTCTTATCCTGGAGCTTCAGATTTTTCCTGCAGGACTGATGGAAAACTGTGAAAAGGCTCCTTCATGTCATGTGCCTGTTTTTAGAGCGTTTACATTCATCCTGTACATTTCGTAGCATCTCCTAGTTTCTCCGCCTTTTAAACGTCTTAACGAGTTTTTGTTGTCATGAAACTTAGATTGTAGTCGGCACTTAATCGTGGTTTTACATACTTCAATAAAATACGAAACTGATGTTTTTAAAGCGCGGCTGCATTTCAAAGGCTTCTGTTCTTTGTTTTAATCTTCCATAATCACACATTTCAGCAGGTTGCTCAGGTCTTCTGGTGTTAAAGGAATCTTCTAAACAACCACGTAGGTAACTTAGACGTTCCGGCTCATGCTTTGTCTCTGCAGGTGTGAAGACCTCAGAGGTGAAGTTTGCAGTTTCTCATGTGCCTCTTCAAGCGAATCCCGGCGTTTACAGTTGAACTTTGCTTTAACACACTGGCCTGGTTCTCTGGATCCTTGAAGCTCCTGATGTCTGCAGAATTCGGAGGCTCAATCGGGCTCTTGGTCGGGTTCCTCGAGCTCCTTTTTGTGGTGTAGTGGAGCGAATTGTCCAGCAGGGGGCGACTGATGTGTTCAGGCTGCAAACACTTCCAGGTACGAGTCGGAATAACGTGAAACCTGAAGTTTCAAACTTTTCTACTGGATGCGTTTCCTGACAGAAAGATGAAGTGAACGCAGACCGACAAGAAATCTGGTTCCTCCCAAAGAAACCAGCTCTGAAGCAAGAAGGCAAAAACTAATTATAGTCGATTAATTCGTTATCGATCAGTTGTTTCGTCTATAAAATGGTGAAAGATGTCGATCAGGTCTCGTTTTGTTCAACGACGTTCAGTTTACCTTCACAGAGGAAAGAAGCCAGAAACGTTCACGCTGAAGAAGCTGCGGTCAGAATTTAGACGATTCTTTATTAAAACATCTGGCAGTTAATTTAATAGTTGACGACTGATTGATTAATTCTTGCAGCTCCGCTACACAACCCCACAGACTGATTCCCCTCAGAGTGAATCCTGTCTGTAGACGGTCCTGGTAGGTTCTGGAGGTAAAATGGTCCTTCCATCGTCTAGACCTTGTTCTGACCAACCACCGTCACACATGGTGATATAAACCTGGAAAGTTTACCCAGAATGCACTTTGTAAAGTTTCCTCCGACCTAACATCATAATACTGCCACCTCCGTGCTTCGCTGTCAGGGCCATTCGTTCACTGGTCGTCCTGGTCAGCAGAGAGACAAAGCCACCACAAAGAGACACAAAACCACCCTGGAACGTTTACCCAGAATGCACTTTGTAAAGTTTTCTCTGGTGAATGATCAGAAACCAGAAACACATCCAGAGTACCACTGCTTGTTCCTATGACTCTACGTCATCGACATTAAACTGTTCACACTATGAGACATCCCATAATACTGATGCTGCTAGCTGGTTGTTACACTGATTGTCATTTTTGAGTTAATTTGAACATTTGGGTTCATTTTTAACTCATTCAGGACGGGTCGGTGCATTGTGGTCCCGTTTTGTGCGTTTTGGACAGATTGAGGCGTTTTGGATTCTTTAGATGCGTTCTTCAATTTATGAGACGTTATGTAGAACTTTTGGGTAATTTAGGACAAACCGGAACAACAAAATGACCAGAAACCAGATCCAGTGTTCAGACTGTGACACCTGGATGGATGTAGAACTGATCTGGTGTCAGTTTCTTCCAGAACTCAGATGTGTTCTTCCTCCTACATGTCATGTGTCTATCTGCTGTACTGATGAAGTTCTGAGGCTCAGAAATGATGGAAAAAGTCCGTTAAAGTGGTAAACCTGGAGGCCTCCTCTGTGGACTTCAAGGACCTGGAACTCTGGAATATTCATGATAATATTCATCAAATAAAGCTACTGCAGATACAGAACCAGGTGTTCCGAGAAGGTTCTGGAGGAGTCTCTCAGATTTGGTTGATTTTATGTTCCAGCTGATCTGTGGACCAGCTGTTGTGGCGACAGACGGGAATTTAAATCTACGTTTTGAAAGCTTTGACGTGTTTTCAGCAGCTGTTAGTTGTGACGTTCACGAGATGGTCCAACTCTTCAACCTTCTGACTGGGTTCTGCTCAGCTGTTACATCTGGAAACTGGAACCAACGTCCATGAAGAACCGTCGGCTCCTTTTTGAAAATGGCAAATAATTTTTTTCAGTTATTTTACAGATTTTCCTCGTTTGCTCCATTTACAGATGACGTCCTGGAACTCTGCAGAATTTAGTTTTTTTAATTTTCATGTCGACTGTAGAAACAAATCACCAAAAATATCGAAAACCTTTGAGTATATTAAGGCTAAAAAATGGTGCATATTTTTTTTAACTGTTATGTTTCAGATCTTCCTGTTTCAGTGAAGACCAGATGACATCCAGTCAAACCACAGAAGAACGACATTCAAACGTTGACTGTGTGTTTTTATAAACAGGTTTTGTTCAGCGTCTCTCTGCTGCTGTCCTCGTTTAACTCGCAGCAGCTCTGAGGAAACGCTGTGATGTGAGACGGCAGCTCGATGGTCCTCAGCTGCTCTTTGGCTCGCTGCTCGACTAATTATCTGATTATTCCTGCGGAGCTGCTGCCAGCGGCTGCGTTGCATTTCCACAGTTTATGGAGATGAGTCGGACTCGGCCTGCAAGCCCAGCAGAAAGAGCTGCGGCTCAGCTGGACGATGACCAGCAGCAGCAGCAGCAGCAGCAGCATCAGAACCACAGAGCCTGAGCTGCAGGACGGCCAGCCTCCACCAGCCTCCAGCCAGCCTCCAGCCAGCCTCCACCAGCCTCCACCAGCCTCCAGCCAGCCTGAGGTAAGAACCGCTGACGGACATGTGAAGCTGCTCCTGGACCTGATGACGGTGGTTCTTGTCTTGTGTTAGAGTGAATGTGACCAGCGCCTGTCTGCAGCTTCAGCAGCATCCAGGTCTGTCACAGGAGCATGATTAACATGAGTGGTTCTGTTCAGACGGACCGTGGGTCAGTCTGCTGCCTCTCACTAGCATCAGCTGCATGTCTCTGCTTTTACTGTAACTTTGGACTCTGGTGTGTTTGGCTGCTGCTCCGACACCAAAGTGTTCTGTCCGTTCTGTCCCACCTGAAAAGTTCAGCAGCCGGGAGTCCACCTGCTGCTGGTCCAGATGCATGTCAGCAGCAGCACATGTTCCTGTTTCCTCCGTGTTCACCGGCTCTCTGCTGTCTCTACTGTCTCCACATGCTGCTGCTGCTGCTGCTGCTGCTGCAGGGAGACCAGAGATGCTGACTCAGCTGGTTCTGGGATGGACTGCCTTGCTCGGCGGCATCCAGCCGGTTGCCTCCAGTGAGTAGAAAACCAGCTCAGAGGGACAAAGTCTGCTTTACATGAACAGTTGGAAGCTCACATCACACATCTGGACCATAAAAACCATAAAAAATGACCAAATTTACAGACTTTAGCAGCCAGGAGCCATAAAAACAGAAAAATAAAAGGTTATTCCACTTTGACTTGAAGGTATCACACGTGACAAACAGTTCAATGAGAAAAAAACAAACAAATCTGAAGTTAAAATTGATTCATTTAATCTCAAATCATCAAAACATCTCTGATTTAATTTAAAGTGTTTTTAATCCTGAACTCTGGATATTTAAATCTGGGATCTTTTACATCCGGACATCAGCTGTTTTCTGTATATTTTTAATAACCTCCAACACATTTCTTCGTATATTAAAGATCAAAACCAGTGAGGTCACCGACCATAAACACATCCACATTCAAAGGTTTATTTTCTTGGTTATGTTTTAGGAAACCAGTCCGAGTATCTAGAACTTTATCCGACTTGGATCCGACCTTCTATTAATATTTTAATTTCTCTAATTGACTTGGTTTCATATTTAAAGAAATGGTGAAAGTCTGGCAGCAAAGGTTCCAGAAAAAACCCAAAACTAACATAAAAATATCTGGAATCCTGCAACATGTAAAAACTGTAAAAACTGGGAAAATATGTAAATTATTGTCAATTTTTTTTTTTACATCTTTAATTCTTAATAAAACTATTTTTTTTTTCAAATAACAACAAATATCTGTAAAACAATTACTTTTTTAAAAAATGCATTTTTAAAAGGTTGAATTTTTCTGTCTTAATTTGTAAAAGAACAAAATATTTTTACAGATTTTTATGTGAGCATTTCATAGTTTTGTTTTGTTTTTTACAGTTAACATGTAAATTAAATCTATTTTTATGTGATTTTAGCAGTTTATTATCTGTAATTTAACAAAACTGGGAAAATAACAGCGAATATCTGTAAAATAATGATAATTTTAACTGATTTAAATAAAACAAACCTGTGATTTTATGGTCACACACTGTAAAAACAACAGATTAGTGATTTTTATGTGAATATTATTTATAGTTTTGGCCCTTTTTTTTTTTTTTTTACTGTTACATGTAAATTAATACTATTTCCTCTGATTTCACTATTTTATTATGTAAATTATTGTCCATTTTTGTCCATCTTTAAATTCTTAATATATGTATTTTCAAATAACAGCAAATATCTGTAAAATAATTACTTTTTTTTTTTTTTTTTTTTAAAATACATTTTTAATTTTTCTGTCTTAATTTGTGAAAGAACCAAACAGTTGGTCCAGATGTTTCATGTTTGTTCATCTGGACTTTGGTACCAACCGGGACCTCTGTTCTGGTTCCAGGGTTCCCGTCCTCGCTGAGCAGCAGGTTTTCCCCTCAGAGGTGTGAAGCCTTCATCCCTCCTCCTCTTCCTCCTCCGATGTTTCCTCCGATCAAGTGGAAAGCAGAGCTGATGGTGACCGACTCCTCATGTCTGAACCTTATAAATGCTGCAGACGAGGCCTTCAGGTTAGAAACCAGGAGACGAGCGACTCTGACTCATGCAGGTTTGTGTTTGATCCGTAGGTGGACATAACGGAGCACATCACAGGAGCTCCAGGGGAGAAGGTGGGTCTTCATCACCACCATAAACGGGTTTTTTGTTCTGATGAATGTCGTGTTTTTAATGCTGTTTGTGGTGTTTCAGGGCTGCAGAGGAGCCAGAGGAGCCCGGGTCAGTCCATCACCTCACACCGTGGTTCATCAGACCACCAGGAGTAGAAATAGGAGACGTTCTGACCATCTGCTGTGTTTCAGGGGGAGCCTGGTGTGAGGGGACCGGATGGAGAGCCGGGAGAACAAGGAGTCATGGGCCCGCCGGGTCCAAAGGTCTCAGAACCACCTCATGTTATTAATCAGTTATAGAGTCACTCTGTACCTGCTGATGCTCTTATTTTGAAAGGCAGATGTGGAGGAAGAACTGAAAAGTGAAAATAAAAAGCTCAAAAGTATCGACACCAAAATAAACTCAAGCTTCCAAAAGTGCTCAAAATGGAGAATAATGTGTTTAATATGATTCATTATTATTAATTATTTATGTAATTTTTATGTGGATTTTTTTTTTTTTACAGTTTTGACCGATTTTATTTAACTGTATTTGTAAATTAATAGAATTTTCTCTGATTTTACAAGTTTACTGGTTAGTTTACTAATTTAATAAAACTGAGAAAATATGTAAATTATTGTTATTTTTTCCATCTTTAAATTCTTTATATATATACAGTTCACAGTTTGTTTGTTTTTTTTACAGTGAACATGTGAATTAAATCTATTTTTCTGTGATTTTATCAGTTTATTGTCTGTAATTTATCTGCATTAATTCTTGTTTGTGTCTCTGCAGGGAGAGGAAGGAAACCGAGGCTGGAGGGGATTGTACGGAGACATCGGGACGCCGGGGATGATGAAGGTGCATCCATTCATTCATTCATTCATTCATTCATTCAGTCCATAAATCAGGAATCAGTGACTGAATAATCTTCTTTAAGAAACTCTTTAATCTGCAGCTCGTCTTCACGCTCACATCTGTTAGATTCACATTTAAAAACCAGAATCACAGTTTAATCTTTATTTCTTCTACTTCAGTCAATAAATCAGCCGTCAAGATGGTAAATCACTTATTAGTTAATTAATAATATTAATAATAATGTGGGTTTTTTTCTTAGAAAGCAATAATATTACATCTTTTTTATACATCTGATACAAATATGAACACTTTTAATTAAATAGTTCAACACATTTTAAAATAATCCTTCAGTCAAACATTCAGATTTAGTCCAAAGTTTATTTGTTTTTACTCAAATGTTCTCTCGTCTAACTGCTTTTTATTTATGAGGCTTCTTTCTAAGCTGAGGACCAACTTCGTAGCACAAACATGTAAACGTGAGCTGACAGTAACAGGTCCTTGAATCCTTGAATCCTTGAATCCTTGAACATTAAAGCATCTCTTCTTTCATTTATTCTTTTCCACCTCACAGTAAAGTGTGATATTAGTGCATCCTGGTGGTGAACTGCTGACGGTGACTCTGTTTGTGTGTCTGTAGGGGAGTAAAGGCCGCCGAGGATTCAGGGTAAGAGACGGTTCTGAACGGTTCCGTATGGTTCTGTACAGTTCTGCACGGTTCTGCAGCAGCACTTCCTGTTTACTGACCTGCTCTCATCCGTCAGGGCGATAAAGGCGTGAAGGGAAGCCGAGGCCTCCGAGGACAGAAGGTGAGGCGCTGCCATGTGACCTTCATGTGAACAGAACCAGAACCTGAACCGGACCGTTAAACTGTTCCTGTTGTTCCTCTGCAGGGAGAACCAGGCGTCTCCGCAGCGCCGGGACAGAAGGTAGAACCACCCGGCTCAGGATGCATGAAGCAACCAGCAGAGCGGTGAGGTTACAGCGCCGGTTCTGTTCTGTTTTGATCCAGGGCGACTCGGGTCAGTGGGGCGACGCAGGACCGAAGGGGGAGTCCGGGTCCAGAGGAGACCCTGGAGCACGAGGTGGCCTGGTGGGTGTCGACAGGATCAGGAGATACGGAGCTCTGAGCTTAGTCAGCCGGTACTGGGATCCAGAACCGGGTTCTGTAAAATATTCTGCTGGAATCTTCAGAATTTTACATGTTCTCAGACCAGTTTTTGTATTTTGACCCTAAAAAACAACCTGTGAAGCCTTTAAAGGTCCAGTGTCTCATGAAACGTGTTGAGAACCAGACAGAACATATGAGTCAGATGATACCGACTGGACCGGTCCAGCAGAGGACAAGGTTCTAATTTATGGCTCCTAAAAATGAAAAAGAGCGAAACGTGACCAAAGAAATCCCAGAAAGTTCCTGTCAGTGTCTGTCTATGGATGGATCCATGGTTCTTTCTGTTGAGGCTCTAACATCAGTAGAACCTGATGTGGTGAAGCTGGACCAGACAAGGTTCTGGTTTTAGACTAAATGTTGATGTGTCATTGGTAGGAACCAGAACCTGGACTTTATGGGGTTGAGACTCAGCTTCCTGATGTCAGGAGGTCTGTGTCTGGGTCCACTGATCCACTGACTGATCCAATTATCTGTGTTCAGGGCTTGAAGGGACCTCGAGGCCCGACAGGACACCCGGGTCACCCTGGTCCAGCAGGACTAGCGGGCCTGCCTGGAGAACCTGGACTACCGGGACAAGGTTAGTAACAGAACCAGAGCTCTGTGGGAGGAGAGGTGGAGAGGAGAACCTCTGGCAGGTCCAGTGGGTTTCTGTGTGTTCTGTCCAAATTAGTGAGAAGAACTCAGAACGTCTTCAGTCAGGATGATGGAAGCAGCAAGAAACAAGGAGCTGAAGCTTCATGTCTGTGATTGTTTGTATGTAAAACAATGAGAACCAACATTTCCACACGTTTTAACCAACGCTGGTACCAACAGATGCTCCTCATGCTGTCCTGGTCACATCCACTGTCTCTGTAGAAACCTGAAGCTCAGCCACCAGAACCTCGTCAGCTTCTGGGTCGGGCAGCTCAACACAACAGTTCTAAGTGTTCACAAGATCTGATGAAAGGAAATGGTTTGTTTCTGGCAAATTAACAAACGAGACACGTAGAATAGTGTCATCACATAAAACATCACAGGTTTAGGTTTAGATCCAGATGTTGCTTCCAGACGTCTGACGGCTGAAGATCTGACGTTTCCTTCAGTTTTTTACAGTTTCTGGCTGATGAACTGTCTCATTTTAGCAGTTTTTTAAAATTAACTCATATTTTTAACCCCACGGTGCCCCACGGAGCCCCACGGTGCCTCACGGTGCTCCACGGAGCCCCACGGAGCCCCACGGAGCCCCACGGTGCCTCACGGTGCTCCACGGAGCCCCACGGTGCCCCACGGTGCCCCACGGAGCCCCACGGTGCCTCACGGTGCTCCACGGAGCCCCACGGTGCCCCACGGTGCCCCACGGAGCCCCACGGAGCCCCACGGAGCCCCACGGTGCTCCACGGTGCTCCACGGTGCTCCACGGTGCCTGATGATGTTTTGTGTGTCCAGTGTTTGTCCTTCCAGGTCTGCAGGGAGACTCAGGAAGTCCAGGTCCTGCAGCTGCATGCAGATGTTCGGAGGTTCAGAGCTCCCCGAGGCTGATGGACCGAGTCCAGAAGGTGAGTGACGATGGTTGTGGTGAACGTTGTCATCATGTTCAGCTCAGTTCAGGAGGAAATAAAGTCCAGTTAAAGTGCTTCATGTCCTGACATTTATATTCCGGGTCTGTTACTGTAGAAAAAGATTAATTCACTTTACTGAGGTGGAGTTCTGGAAAACTTCTATAGTTGTTAAGTTGCTGAATATTTCTGAATATCAGGAAAGTTTTGAATTATTTTAGACAATTTTACTGATTTTTAGGAAACAGTTTGAGCTATTTTGTGGGCATCGTTGCTTTTTTTGGACAATTTTTTAAAGAATTTTGGATAATTTCTAACAGATCTTGGACAAGTTTTAAGTTATTTTGGCTCCTTTTTAGGCCTTTTGGACCATTTAGGAATGATTTATTTTGTTTTTGCCACATTTTGAGCCACTTCTGAACATTTTGACGTCCATCTGGATCCTTTCTGGAATCATTTTGGACATTTTAAGGCGTTTCTGGACATCTTTTATTTTGACTGATTTTGGACATTTTTGTTTCATTTTTTTGAGCAGTTTTTGAACCAACTGTCAAACTGAAATGAGCTGCGAGCGTCCTGATGATCCAGCTTCACATGCAGCTGCTGAGTTTGTACAAAGTCCGACTCACGTGGAGACACACAGCAAATGAACCAGATTCCTGCTGCTTTGTTCTCGTCTGACTGAATCTCTGAAACAGAACTGATGGCAAATAAACCGGTAGCTGTCCCTAACTCTGCAGCAGATGTTGCTTTACTCACCTGCAGCTGAGCTAACAGGTGTGACTGAACAGCTCCCCCTTGTGGACGTGAAGGTTTGGTTGTTGTCGGATGTTTGCTGAGTGAATCCTCTGACTCTTCTGCAGGTCTTCATTGCGGACGGCGAGAAGGAGATGAGGAGGCTCCGGGCGGAGAACGTGATGGTTCTGAGGACGGACAGGAAAGCTCTTTACATTTACACCGAGTCCCAGTGGATCAATGTTCTGGTAACTACACACAGCAGCAGGACGGAAAACAAATACACAAAGACGACTAAAAACACACAGCTGCAGGTTTTTATGTTCAGAACGGGCCTTTGGGGAATAAAAACTGAGTCTGTGTGACCTTATGTGACAGAAATCCATTTGTTTTGCTGCTACTTCTGAACAAAAATGATTATTATAACTTATTAAGCAAATCATTATTATTATCATTGTTGTTGTTTTATATTTTCTTCTTCTTCTTCTTGTGTGTCCGTCAGGAGGACCCCCGACACTGAGCCTGAGGAGCCTTTAACAGCAGACGCATCAGACTGTGCAGCATTTATAATAATAATATGAATAATTTTAATATTAAGCATTTTCTTGTGTTTTCTGTCTAACTGATGATTGGTGTGCATGTGCAGCATCTCGCTGCATCAAACCGTCCTGGTTGGTAGCAGCCTGAGATGAACCTGGACTCTGATTTGACCCGTTTTACGTCACAAACCTTCGACGTTTCTGGACCGTGTTGCCCTGAAGATGCTGCTGCAGTGATCCTACACAGAGATCAATAAACGTCTGGTTACTGTCTCTCACCTCCATGTCAGGACTGACTTTGTTCTGCCAGTTTGTTCCACGTCAGGAGATTCACGTGTTCATGTTTGTGTCCACGCAGAATGAAATAAGAACGTTTAAGGATGAGAATGAAGGTTCTGTAGCTTGACTGTGGTTCATACTGGATGTGCTGCAGCTCTGAACCAACACAGTGCAGTCAGAACGCAAGATCTAAAACATTTCATCTCCTAAACGCACCAGCTTGCTGCTACATGTTGAGACTTTCATGCATTTGTATTTTCAGAATCCCCAGCAGGTTGATCCACACGATGCATCACGTCACGTTATATTTACTTTAGAGCAGCGTTACTGGAAATTAAAACATCCTTAAATGTTCCTTGATAAAAAGATGTTCTTCAAAAATCACGCTGGAACTTGCAGGTGATGTCATGTGATGTTGTGGGAATCATGTCGTCACGTTTAGCGTCTTCAATACTTTAATGTAGAACAATTCAGAGACGGTCTCTGGTTTCAGTCTGGTGTTTATTCAGAGTCACATTTGGTCACTTTGCAGATGTTTTAGTCTCATCAGTTGATTTTACGTCGACCTGAAGTTAATTCGCGTCTCTTTCTGGTTGTTTTATGTCTTTATGCATTTACTTTGTTGAGTCTCATCGTTAGTATTTAGCCTCCACTCGTCTTGTTCAGTGTGTTTTAATAACCATCTGACTGACCTGCAGGCTTCATACGAAGTTATAAATACGTTTTGGAATCATTACAGATTTAAAACAATGTGCCGCTGTGAAATAAGTTCAGTAATCATTAAGGCACCAGGTCTGTTCAATGTTTTGTGTGTTTAACTCAGTTTTATTTATTAGAAGGTTCTTTAAACCATATCTAACTGTTCTGCACAAAAACACACAAAA